CTATAGAACTTGTCGGATACTTCATATCTCTCGACCCGGGCATGAGCTTGGAAAACTAGTTTTAGTTCCTCGAACATCTCATATGCTCCGTGTTGCTCAAAACGCTTTTGGAGCCCCGGTTCTAAGCTGTAAAGCATGCCACACTGAACGAGGGAGTAATCATCAGCATGAGACTGCCAAGCATTCATAATGTCTTGGTTCTCTAGGACGGGAGCGTCACCTAGCGATACTTCTAGGACATATTGTTTCCTGGCAGCTATGAGGATGATCCTCAGGTTCCGGACCCAGTCCGTATAGTTGCTGCCATCATCTTTCAGCTTGGTTTTCTCTAGGAACGCGTTGAAGTTCATGTTGACATGAGCGTTGGCCATTTGATCTACAAGACATATTTGCAAAGGTTTTAGACTAAGTTCATGATAATTAAGTTCATCTAATCAAATTATTGTAATGAACTCCCACTCAGATTAGACATCCCTCTAGTCATCTAAGTGTTACACGATCCGAGTCGACTAGGCCGTGTCCGATCATCACGTGAGACGGACTAGTCATCATCTGTGAACATCTTCATGTTGATCGTATCTTCCATACGACTCGTGTTCGACCTTTCGGTCTCCGTGTTCCGAGGCCATGTCTGTACATGCTAGGCTCGTCAAGTTAACCCTAAGTGTTTTGCATGTGTAAAACTGTCTTACACCCGTTGTATGTGAACGTAAGGATCTATCACACCCGATCATCACGTGGTGCTTCGAAACGACGAACTTTAGCAACGGTGCACAGTTAGGGGAGAACACTTCTTGAAATTGTTGTAAGGGATCATCTTATTTACTACCGTCGTTCTAAGTAAACAAGATGCATAAACATAATAAACATCACATGCAATTATATAGTAGTGACATGATATGGCCAATATCATATAGCTCCTTCGATCTCCATCTTCGGGGCTCCATGATCATCTTCGTCACTGGCATGACACCATGATCTCCATCATCATGATCTCCATCATTGTGTCTTCATGAAGTTGTCACGCCAACGACTACTTCTACTTCTATGGCTAACGCGTTTAGCAATAAGTAAAGTAATTTACATGGCGTTCTTCAATGACACGCAGGTCATACAAAAAATAAAGACAACTCCTATGGCTCCTGTCGGTTGTCATACTCATCGACATGCAAGTCGTGATTCCTATTACAAGAACATGATCTCATACATCACAATATATCATTCATCATTCATCACAACTTCTGGCCATATCACATCACATGACAATTGCTGCAAAAACAAGTTAGACGTCCTCTAATTGTTGTTGCATCTTTTACGTGGCTGCAATTGGGTTCTAGCAAGAACGTTTTCTTACCTACGAATAACCACAACGTGATTTTGTCAACTTCTATTTATCCTTCATAAGGACCCTTTTCATCGAATCCGCTCCAACTAAAGTGGGAGAGACAGACACCCGCCAGCCACCTTATGCAACTAGTGCATGTCAGTCGGTGGAACCGGTCTCACGTAAGTGTACGTGTAAGGTTGGTCCGGGCCGCTTCATCCCACAATACCGCTGAAGCAAGATAAGACTAGTAGCGGCAAGCAAGTTGACAAGATCTACGCCCACAACAAAATTGTGTTCTACTCGTGCAATAGAGAACTACGCATAGACCTAGCTCATGATGCCACTGTTGGGGAACGTTGCAGAAAATTAAAAATTTTCCTACGGTTTCACCAAGATCCATCTATGAGTTCATCTAAGCAACGAGTCAAGGGAGTGAGTTTGCATCTACATACCACTTGTAGATCGTGTGCGGAAGCGTTCAAGGGAAGGGTGATGATGGAGTCGTACTCGACGTGATTCAGATCACCGATGACCAAGTGCCGAACGGACAGCACCTCCGCGTTCAACACGCGTACGGGACGAACGACGTCTCCTCCGTCTTGATCCAGCAAGGAGGAAGGAGAGGTTGAGGAAGACAGCTCCAACGGCAGCACGACGGCGTGGTGTTGGTGGAGAAGCAGCACTCCGGCAGGGCTTCGCCAAGCTCGTGACGGAGGAGGATAGCTGTTGGGGAGGGGAGGGGCTGCGCCTTGGTTGTGTGTTGCAGCCCTCCCCTCACCCCTCTATTTATAGGGGAAGGGGCAAGGGGGGCCGGCCCCTCTAGATGGGATCTAGAGGGGGGGCGGCAGCCAGGAAGGGGGGACTTGCCCCCCAAGCAAAGGGGGCGCCCCCCTCTAGGGTTCCCCCCCCAACCCTAGCCGCATGGGCCCAAGGGGGGGGGCGCCCAGCCCTCCAAGGGCTGGTGCCCTGCCCCACGCGGCCCATGTGGCCCACCAAGAGGGGTGGCCCCTCCCGGTGGACCCCCGGAACCCCTCCGGTGGCCCCGGTACAATACCGATATGCCCCGAAACTTTCCGGTGTCCGCATGACAACTTCCCATATATAAATCTTTACCTCCGGACCCTTTCGGAACTCCTCGTGACGTCCGAGATCTCATCCGGGACTCCGAACAACATTCAGTAATCACATACAAGTCTTCCTAATAACCCTAGCGTCACCGAACCTTAAGTGTGTAGACCCTACGGGTTCGGGAGACACGCAGACATGACCGAGATGGCTCTCCGGTCAATAACCAACAGCGGGATCTGGATACCCATGTTGGCTCCCACATGCTCCTCGATGATGTCATCGGATGAACCACGATGTCGAGGATTCAAGCAACCCCGTATACTATTCCCTTTGTCAATCGGTACGTTACAAGCCCGAGACTCGATCGTCAGCATCCCAATACCTCGTTCAGTCTCGTTACCGGCAAGTCACTTTACTCGTACCGTAATGCATGATCCCGTGACCAAACACTTGGTCACTTTGAGCTCATTATGATGATGCATTACCGAGTGGGCCCAGAGATACCTCTCTGTCATACGGAGTGACAAATCCCAGTCTCGATCCGTGTCAATCCAACAGGCACTTTTGGAGATACATGTAGTGCACCTTTATAGTCACCCAGTTACGTTGTGACGTTTGGTACACCCAAAGCACTCCTACGGTATCGGGAAGTTACACGATCTCATGGTCTAAGGAAGAGATACTTGACATTGAAAAAGCTCTAGCAAAACGAACTACACGATCTTGTGCTATGCTTAGGATTGGGTCTTGTCCATCACTTCATTCTCCTAATGATGTGATCCCGTTGTCAACGACATCTAATGTCCATAGTCAGGAAACATGACTATCTGTTGACCAACGAGCTAGTCAACTAGAGGCTTACTAGGGACGTATTGTGGTCTATGTATTCACACGTGTATTACGATTTCCGGATAATACAATTATAGCATGAATAAAAGACAATTATCATGATCAAGGAAATATAATAATAATGCTTTTATTATTGCCTCTAGGGCATATTTCCAACACTCTCTTCACGTATAAAATCAGTTTTGGGCAATCAATTTGTAGAGCTACTATTAAAGATGCTCTAACACCCGAGAATATGATGCCATCTCTTCCTCACAAAGAAAAGCCCCAATGTGTTAGGGTTTCCTGGCCGCCCGCCGGCACTACCGCCAATCTGCCTAGTCTCGTGTGGCCTGATGGCCATGGAGGCACGGTGGATTCTGGTCCTCGTCGGCAGGAGGGCTCATGTTTCGTCCTTAGGTGTTTTTTTTTAGTATTTTAAGGTTTATGTCGTGGTCAGGAAAGCGAGGCACTGGAGACTCCCTGAAGATGGAATGATGTTTTGTGTATTTGTCTTCGATGTATCTGTGTAGATCCGCTCTTCATTTGTTTTCGTCATGTGTCTACAGGTTGTATCCTTCCGGTCCATGCTTCGCTTCATTGGCGGTTGCTGTTCTGGTACGTTGATCTTTCGAGGCCTTAGCACGACGACTTACAGATTGTCTACGACAACAGGGTTTGACTGACTCTGACGTGGGAGGGACGATAGCAGCGGCACGTCTTCGTCTCGCTCAATGCTTGTAGTCGTCCTTAAGTGGTTTATGGACATTGATGTAATATTTATTTTGAAGAGAAGTAATTTTTTTTCTCGTGTTCCGTCATGATATTTGATGAATAGTACTCGTAGATTGGAATTTTTAACTCTGAGCACCAGGGAAAGACCAATAATAGCCCGGTCCAAATCATCGAACCGGAAGCGGTTTTATTAGTAGTAGAAGGAAAAAGGAAAGAGAGAAGTCGGCTCTCACTCTCAGCCAGCCCGTGCGCATCCTCTCCCGCGAACTCACCCAGCGCCTGACGACGGCGGACAACGCCGCCCCTCCCGCCGACGACCGCAGACGGCCAGACGACAGCCGAGCCTCCCGCCCTCCGCCGCGCCTCCCCACCGACCTCTCCCATTCGGCACTTCCCTGACCTCTGTCGCTTGCCGGGACTTCACCCAGCTGCGGCCGCCGCCACGCCTCCCCCTTCCGCCGACGCCCGGCCCTGCCCCGAGCTCCGCCCCTCCGTCAGGCCTGTCGTCGTCTGCGGTCCTCCCCGCTGCCTCACCACTCCGCGTGCCCCACAGCGACTTGCCCTCTCAATCCATCCCGTAACTTCCCTCCCCCTCTCCTGACCCCGTCTTATGCTCGGGCCTACTCGAGCTCCAATCCGACCCAATGCGGCCATGAAATCCCTCCTGTAGTCGAGCTCCCTCCGTGCCGTATCTAAGCGTCATCGCCGACGCCGCATACCCCAAACCCTCCACCTCTCACGCGCGTCGCCGTCGTCGCCGTTCCCGTCCTCATCGCGTCGCTGCTGTCCCCACCTCGTCCGCAACCTTGGACCTTGCTTTTTAAGGTATGAGCTTCTAATCATCCAGAAACTACTAAACCTCATACTAACCTCGACAAATTTTGGGCGTGCCGGTTGCCTTCCTGCACACCATGTAGATCCGCACCTGATTTGGATCCTGACTGCTCTTGGTTTCTTTTCAGGTAGGATCCAGGGATCCAAAAGCGAAGTCTCCCCGAGCTACGGAGAATGTGATTGGAAGCAACTACGGTTTCATTCAGAGATGGCCACACCAGGGAGCAGTACTGGGGCTGGCGGCAGCAGCACCAGACCGGCGAATGGCGCAGTTACCGTCAATTCTGCTGCGACGACGGTCGGTTCGGCCAACGCCAGATTCCATTCCCAACAACCACATCAAGACAGGGTATACTCGTGCGCTCTATTACATATGCTTAGCTAGTTGTTTTGTGCTTTTTTGCTTTAGATATGTACATCCATCACTGCATACGAAGTACGAACTGTACTGGACACTAGTTGCTGCAACTTGCAAGGGCATCTTTACCCCAATAATTATGCTTTAGTAGTGGCTGCTTGCTTCATACAGCTTTGCATAATGAGCTGAATTGACTATTCATCTTGGTGTTGGTCCATTCTAAATTGCATGCATTTTGCACTAGTTTGGTAATTTTGTACATACCACATACCTTTTCCTGCTACATCATCACCTGGAGTATCTTGCTCTTTCATTCCTTTCATAGATATTGTATATATCAGTATATAGGTATAGCTGGTCGGTTTTTCTCTATATCCACATTTTGCTTTGAGGTTTGGGAAAAGTAGATTTTACTTTGCAAAGCACTTACTGTACGGTACGGTAGAAGCACAAACTCATTTGGTGTTTTTCATGTTAGGATATTTTTCCTTCTGAAGATTTTTCAGACTTGTGGAATACACGCTGTGATCAGTTAGGATCTTTTTCCTTCTGAAGATTTTCCAGACTCTTGTGAAATATGTGCTGTGATCAGCTAGGATCTTTTTGCTTATGAAGATTTTTCACTTTTTCAGACTCTTGAGAGATACGAGCTGTGATGACTGATAACACAATTTATATGTTCTATGTGCGGCAGCATTTTGCGCTTGTGAATTTTGGTCTAATTTACTTGCATGGTTATTAATGATGCAATGTGTTTTTATTTATTTATGTACATAGTTTAATAGTAATCTGCAGTTTCATCATTGACCTAACTAGTACATTGTGTTTTCAATTCTAAACTTGTTCTTCATTCAGCTGTGGAGTCAATTTTGTGCCTTTTACCAATAACCGGCAGGATGGTTTTTATCTCTGCTTCCAGGAACAACCAAATTCATTTCCTTGCTCCCTAAAAAAATTCATTTACTTGCACTGATACGTTACATGTTTCTCCGTTCTTAACAGCAGAGTAGATGGGCTAGCTGTTTTCCTGGCTTGTCATGTTTTGGATCGCAGAAGGGTGGAAAGCGTATAGTTCCTGCAGCACGTATGCCTGATGGGAATGCATCAACTAACCGTGGAAATGCTCTTCAATCTGGTAGAAATTCCAACCAAAATGGGGCTATGAATTTATCTCTTCTTGCGCCACCATCATCGCCTGCATCCTTCTCGAACTCTGCTCTTCCTTCGACTGCTCAGTCACCTAACCGCTTCCTGTCAATATCTGCAAACTCTCCTGGTGGCCCAACGTCTAATATGTTCGCTGTTGGACCATATGCCAATGAACCTCAGCTTGTCTCACCTCCAACAGCCTTTTCAACTTTCACAACTGAGCCCTCTACAGCACCACTGACCCCTCCTCCTGAACTAGCTCACGCAACCACTCCGTCCTCTCCAGATGTTCCATATGCTCGGTTTCTTTCATCATATACGGGTCTTAAAACTGCTGGCAAGGAGCACAGCATGCATTACTTGTCAACAACATACTCTGGTGGTTTAGGACTCCAGGGATCTTATCCACTTTACCCAGGGAGCCCTTCTAGCAGCCTCATATCGCCTGCCTCAGTAACTCCAAGGACCGGTCTATCCTCACCAATCCCTGAGCAAGATGTTCCTACTGCACACTGGAAGACATCTAGGTCCGTCTGCGACACACCATATTCCATTGCATCGCCCATTCCTGAGCAAGAGGTCCCTACTACACAGTGGAAGACGTCCAGATCTGCTTGTGACACACCGTATTCCAGGACATCGCCATCAAATATTTTTGGACTTGATTCAGCTGCCCCTAGAAACTGTCTCCTGGATAGCAATTTTTTCCGTCCAGAGGCATCTGCTCAGTTCTACCTGGATCAGGCTCAACAGTCATTTCCGTATAATGGTGGGAGGCTTAGTGTCTCAAGGGATAAGCAAGATGCAGATGAGGTTGAAGCATACAGAGCATCATTTGGATTCAGTGCGGATGATATTGTTACAACTCAACATTATGTAGAAATACCAGATGCGCTGGATGATGGGTTCAGCATATCCCCATTTGGAAACAATGCCCCTTCTACTGAGGTGTCCCCATTTATTGATCTGCCTAATGAGGTTCAGGAAGTTGATAAAATGGATAAATCACTCTTCAATGTAAACGAGACCACAAGCCCAAAGAAGTCGCCAGACCAGCTTTCTGGTGGCAGTCCACATAAAGTACTGCACCTGGATATATTCAAAGGTAAATGTCCTGATTTTTCACCCCAGCCATTTTGTTGTATCGTGACTTACCAGAATCATCATTTAGATATCCATGAACTGCTGTGCAGACCAATTGTTCAGTAATTTGAACTATACTTGCATTTTGTAGCCGAAACACAAATGTCTTTCATCAACATCCAGCTAAACTCAGGAACGAAAGCGGGTCATCTGTCTGAGGATGACGCAACCGCGAAAGATTGCCATCCTTTCAGGAAGGCGAGGGATGAAATATCTCTAAAACCCATTGAGGTCAGGAAGAGATCTCCGCCTGGCCAGGCATGCTCAGATGCTGAAATTGAGTACAGAAGGGCGAGGAGTTTGAGAGAAGCCAACGGTGTTCTGTCATGGCGCAGCACACTGTCAAGACAGCTGCAGTAATGGTGCTCTGGCATGCATCAAGTCGAGCCGAGCTGTTAGAAGTAAGCCGTAACCGAAGAGTAGCCTGTACTTCGGGGTAAAAAACGAATGGCATCTACTACTATATATATATCTGGGGATTTATACAGCCAGGTTGCTCTGGGTATGTGATGAACAGCTTGTATTCTACTACTCCCTATTTAAGATCACCATGTTTCTCTTTTGTATGCACTCTCTATTCGTTAGCCCGAGCAATGAAATGAAAGGGTGTGCATGATTACTTTAGATTCTGATGCTAGAAGTCTCATGTTTCTCCCCTGAAATATCTAAAAGTCTGACACTGCAACGACTGGTTAGGCAGTGCGAATTCTGCGTTTTTGGCCTTCGCCCCGTCGACGTTCCTTCTGCAGCCACTGATTCATCTCAAGCTTACAACGAGGGACATTTGGATTCTGCCATTTGCTTTATTGGATCATGTTTTACAATTGAGAATGACCAGTTAATTTAGTCCAGTGACCCAGAGAACCACAACCACGTCTATACATGACCAAGCTAGAATGGAGTAAAACTAGTTGTGCAAGCAAGATCACGACTTCACGAGGAGGGCACGTATGAGGCAGACACACACGGAGAGCACGCACGGAGTGTCCATGCACGTCGCTGGCTTGGGTCGTCGCCGCGGAGCCTTGCGCTGCGCACGCCGACAGCCGGTCGCCTGGTTCAAGTGGTCCTGGATCCTCACTATTGTGCCTGCGCCTGCGGGCTGTGCAGCTCCACCGCGCACTGCGACTTGAAGAGCGGCGCCAGGGACGCCGGCTCCGGGACAGGCGACGGCATCGCCGGGTGCCGCCACCCCCCGCCCCCGTTGGAAGCGGGCGTCGGCGTCGGCATAGCCGGGTGCCGCCACCCGCCGCTGGGCGCGAGCGCCGGCGTCGTGGCCGTCTCGTCTGCCCCGTTGCTGACACCGTGAGCGCCGCGCCGGATCGGGCTCAAGATGCCGTCAGCATCCCCGCCGCTCCTGGTCTCGGCCTGCGCAGCGTCCCTCCTGCTCCCGCCCTGGTCCGCCTCCCACGCCGGCGCCGAGGACGCGACGAGCGGCGACAGGAGCGGTATCGGCGTCCTCCCGTCGCCCCACGCGGCGGGGGAAGGATGGGCCGCGCCAGGGCCGGCCTGCTCAAGCTGCAGCGACGCGGGCGCCTTCTTCTGGAGCCTGCTCGGCGGGCGGTTCTTGCAGCCTAGCACCTCGCCGGTGCCGGGCGACAGCTTCATCTCCATGGATCGGCGCGCGCGTACGTGGACTTGGCTGACCCGCGATCGCGCTCTTCTTCTCTCTCTCTGCAATCTCGTGATGCGCGCATGCGGGGCGCGTGGAGGGTTATAAAAGTGCGGCGCGTGACGAGGGGGCGGCCGGGTTTGGAGGACGCGCGCGCGTGGACGGTGGGGAGGGATCGGTGCGTTTCGGTGGTTCCTTTCCTTCCTTTTAACCTCAACTGCTTCCGATTCTCAGCCGAAGATGTGTGCGGTGCAACGGGTGGCACGGTTTCGGGCTTCCAGTCCATTGTGGATGAGGTATTTCAGCCGTCGGATCGTCTTGAAACGTTGGAAATACCAATAATCTGTTTTTTTACGTGCACCCTATCCCTATGAGCACCTTCGAAATACTGAGCAGTACAACATTTTGCTATTAACGAAGTCACTCGTTACCACAGACGCCTTGTAATCGATGAAAACGTCTTCTCCCACTAAATGAACATCGTCAAAGAGCCTGAAAAAAATCTTTAAAATATGAATGTCAAATCTAGGACTTAAACTATCTGTTGTAATGTTTGTGCTTACGATATAGATAGCGCACGAACATGCTCCAGCTGATTGTATTTGCACGATGGCTTCCCAATCGTTGATCCACTGTAAAAAAAACTAGCCGTGGGCCATGCAAATGTTGTCATTACAACGTGGCGACTTATGTGTGTGCCACGTCATATCAATGATTTGTTTTAAACCTTAAACTCATAGTCAGCTTAAATTGAATCTTGAACTCACAATTTGTAAAATCAATACCCTGAATTAATAGCTTTTGGTTATTATTTATCTTTAATACGTTTTCTAGTGGGGCTTGCATATGTGGACACGATTGGCAAAATCTGTAGCGTTTAGGGTTTATCCTTGCCTACTAAGTTTCTCCGCGAGGGCCCCATCACTCGCTTCGCTGGTTAGCACGACGTACACGGGATAGCTGGATGCGCACACTACAACATGGGCGCACGACCGCATGGCCTTATGGTTGCATACGGGTTTTGTTGCGCACAAGAGGGAACCGTGCGCATGGTGCTAGTCCTACGTCGCTTCACCGTGCACAACGACAATCTCTGGCGGGAGGCACATCACGACAATGACTATGAGGGATGGTGATGGTGTGGTCCTTACTGGCACGTCTGGGATCATCCGACATGACTCTCTACTGTAAAGAGCGCCTCCTTGACACTTCCCTCCTCTGGAAATGGCAGGTCACGTGCCTCAACGACGTCCTTCCTCAGCTGGGCTTCCATGTTGTGCCCGATGGCTTTTATATGCATCTTGCTGACGTAGCAACCCATGTCCTTGACTTCGTTGCTTCTTTCTCGAGGCATTTGCTTGATTCATGGTGAGGGCGAGGTTTTGAATCTTCTACTCGATGAGGAGGAGTTTGGTAAGTATCGAAGCTAGATTCGGTGGATCTCGGGTAGGGGGTCCTGATCTAATAGTCTTGGCTAGATGGTAAGGACACAAGGAACACGGTATTTACACATGATCGGGCCGTCTTGAAGAGGTAGAACCCTACGTATTACTTTGTAGTATTGATTGTGGATGGGGTACAGAGTACAGGTGGTCTACCATGAGATTGGATGTGAATGTGCCTGGGCTCTACATCCCTGGCACCTCGGTTTATATAGACACCGGGGTGCCTAGGGTTTACACATGGTCAACCATATCTAGCGGTAAACGTGCTGAGGACTACTCCTGCATCTTGGGGTGCACGCCAAGTCTCTGGGTTATTCCTTCTCGAAGCTTCTGGATCTGACGAACGAGGCCCACCAGTGACAGGCTTAGTGGTGGTGGGGGGTCCTCGGCCCAACCAAAAGGGCGGGCATCCGACTAGTCAAGCACCCCCTAATACAGGACTCCGTCAATAGCCCCTGAAACAGTCTTCAAGCCGAAGACACTCATCGGTTCTTCCGAACTGCTTCGCCTCTTTGGTCTTTAGTCTTGCAAACTGGTTCAATCTTGCATATATCCCCGACTTGGTCTTGCTTTCTTGGTCGAGGAGTCGCATATCTTGGGCATCCGAGGTGTCCCATGAGTGCTTGGATATAAATAATAGATCCCTCAACAATGAAGCCTTCTCGGTCCAGGATAAAGTTTATGTCAAGTCCAGCCCTGACAATTTGACTGAACCGAGACAACACCACCCCTATCACCGTGTGTGGTTGATACGTCTCCAACGTATCTATAATTTATGAAGTATTCATGCTATATTTATATGAGTTTTGTATGGCTTTGGTGCACTTTTATACTATTTTTATGGACTAACTTATTAATCTAGTGGCTAGTGTCAGTTCTTGTCTTTTTTGCATGTTTTTGGTTTTCCAGAAAATCCATATCAAACAAAGTCTAAACGTGATGAAACTTTTTGATGATTTTTTCTTGAAGGTAAGAGACCCATGAAGCTTCGGGGGAGCACCAGAGGACACACAGGGGACCCCACAAGGCAGGGGGCATTGAAGGAAATATGCCCTAGAGGCAATAATTTATATTTCCTTATATCATGATAAATGTTTATTATTCATGCTAGAATTGTATTAACCAGAAACTTGATACAGTGTGGATACATAGACGAAATACCGTGTCCCTAGTATGCCTCTACTTGACTAGCTCTTTGATCAAAGATGGTTAAGTTTCCTAGCCATGTACATGTGTTGTCATTTGATGAATGGGATCACATCATTAGGAGAATGATGTGATGGACAAGACCCATCCTTTAGCATAGCATAAACAATCATTAGTTTTATTGCTACTGCTTTCTTCATGTCAAATACATATTCCACTTACTATGAGATTATGCAACTCCCGGACACCGAAGGAATACCTTGTGTGCTATCAAACGTCACAACGTAACTGGGTGATTACAAAGATGCTCTACAGGTATCTCCAAAGGTGTTTGTTGGGTTGGCATAGATCGAGATTAGGATTTGTCACCCAAGTATCGGAGAGGTATCTCTAGGCCCTCTCGGTAATGCACATCATATGAAGCCTTGCCAGCAATGTGACTAATGAGTTAGTTGCGTGATGATGCACTATGAAATGAGTAAAGAGACTTGCCGGTAACGAGATTGAACTAAGTATGAAGATATCAATGATCGAATCTCGGGCAAGTAACATACCAATGACAAAGGGAATAACATATGTTGACATAGCGACTCGACTGATAAATATCTTCGTAGAATATGTGGGAACCAATATGAGCATACAGGTTCCGCTATTGGTTATTGACCTGGGAGGTGTCTCGGTCATGTCTACATAGTTCTCGAACCCGTAGGGTCCGCACGCTTAACGTTTGATGACAATATGTATTATATGAGTTATGTGTTTTGGTGACCGAAGGTTGTTCGGAGTCCTGTATGAGATCACGGACATGACGAGGAGTCTCAAAATGGTCGAGAGGTAAATATTGATATATTGGAAAGTGGTATTCGGACACCGGAAGGGTTCCGAAGTGTATCGGGTACATACCGGAGTACTGGAGGGGTTACCGGAACCCCCCGGTGGAAGATATGGGCCATATGGCCATAGGAGGGAGGCTAACCAGCCGACAAGGGGCTGCTGCGCCTCCCACAAGGGAGGAGGCCGAATTGTACTAGGTAAGGGGGCGCCACCCCCCTTTCCTTCTCCTACTCCCTCTCCTTCCCCCCTTCCCCCTCCGATAGAAGGAAGGGGGGGAATAGGACAAGGAGTCCAAGTGGGATTCCACCTCACTTGGCGCGCCC